CCCCTAGATACGCCACTGTATACAATAATAGAGACACAAATAAATTATTATCATTGAGAAATAAGTCCAGTTCCATAAACACGTTTTATGACATCGCATATATCATGATCCTTACAATATATTGATATAAATTTATTGTTAATCACTATTCATAATATACGCAGATATCACATGATCACATGATCCTTTGGCACGTGCCAGCTGGTAATGTGATGATACGTGTTACAAGCATCTCATTAATGGATAGAAATGACGTCAAATACCTATTTGTATTTTTAGTGTCGTGCACATTTTGAACATTTGCGCAAATTGTTATTTTCAAGGCGATATTTCTGTACCTTTTAGAAGGGAGTTGTTATAGTGACGGCACAGATAGTATAATCAGCAAGCTCTAACATTTTAAGGTTAATATTTGACCATTTTTTTTGCATTTTCTTTGTTAATTATAAATTCACATTCAATTAAAGCTTTTAGTTCGTTTAGGAACATTTTCCATGGGCATTTTATCTCCAACCCTAATCTTTTTAACATTTTACTTTTGTATATACAGAAGGTAAGCATAGAGATTATTTCGTTAACACGTTTCTGATAATTTCCAAGAACGACTTTAGACCATTGAATTTTATCAGTCATTTTAAAACAAGATGCTAACATTATACTAACATTAGATCAACAGAGGTTTACATCTCTACATTTGAACAGCATGTGTTGTTCGTCTTCTATAACATTGCAGGTTTCACAACTATTACTGGCAGACAGATTCCATGTTTGTAACCTCCTCTTTGTTGGAATTACTTTATGTAAGAATTTATAATTAAATTGCGCTATGTTTTTCAAATGTAACACATTTGAAACTTTATTTTTCCAACAACGTTCCCATTCAATTGTAGTTGTCTGCAAGTCGCTTTCCCACTTGTATTGAACACCTGGAGTGATATATTTTGAATTTATAAAGAATAAATAAAAATCTTTAACACTGTTTTTACTTAAGATCTGTTCGTAATTTGTTTTACACTCATTGACCTTGTGTTTTAAACAACAAGAATCATTTACAATGATTTCTGACCACCTTTGGGGAATTGCATTTACAACTGCAAAATATTTTATAACTCCATCGTGAGACTTAGCTAGGTGAGGAATAATCTCATTCACGGTTTTAAATCTGTTCTTCATGATAATATCCCCCATGGTTTTAAAATTACAATTATTCATGTTTCAGTGAAAAGAGATTTACCATTTGAGGTAATATATTTATTTTCCCATAACCTTTGTCGCTTGATCTCACAGATGCATTCTGGTTGTGAAGCGTGAATGTCATTAAATCGTATGCAAGCAAAAAGCATATTCATATAGAATGTAGGCATTATATTGAAAGAAATATGACTACATAGGTTAACCTGCCTCATGCATACTGTATATTCTAAAGGAAACATATAATATAACGGAAAACATTTCCACTTTCCAGGGTCTGGGCTTAGAAGTCGCTTCACAATTCCATGACAATTTTAAAGAATCGATCATGGAATCGATATCAATCATTTTTAAACCACCAGAGTTAATTTCTTGTATGATTGTGTTTCTTTTTATTTTTTCTCTTTTTCCATTCCATAAAAAACTATATATAATTTTGTTAACTTGTTTGACAATATTACTCGGTATTTCGATAATACTCGCATTGTATATTATTTTTGACAGCGCAAATGTTTTGATTATTGTGACTTTACCAAAGAAGGATAAGTTTCTTTTTTCCCATGGTTTTAAAGCTTGTGTTAGATTTGAAACTTTGTCGTTCCAATTTTTTTCAATACACATTTTTTTATCATAGCCAATAAAAATTCCGAGAAATTTTACGGGTTCCCGGACAAAAGTGATTCCGGATAGATTGTTTGTTTTGTTTTTGTTAGAACCAATCCACAAACCATTGGTTTTGTCTTTATTTAATTTCAGACCAGATACAGTACAAAA